AATAGAACCATTGTTATTAAGGAGTTAACAGTATGTGGAACTCTTAAAACCCAGTATTTAAATTATTATTTAAACAGTATTTAAATTTCTTTTTTAAAAATAAGAGGACTGTCATCAAGATTTCAAGTAGCTGACTATATGCAATTAGAAGGCAGGGAATAGGACAATTGCATGATGATGATATTTGACCACAATTACCAGAATTCATTTTGGTTTTGCTTTGTTATTTAAAGTTGTCAATCCCGCTGAGGATTAAAGAACAATAGCCTTAATTTGCACAAGAGAACAACAAACTCAAGGATTCTGGTAGTTGTAGTAAAATGACGTCACCTTGCATTATTGTCCTATTGAACAGCTAGAAAGTTTTTTTGGTTCTATTTTCTTTTTGCTTCCTCTGAGAGTAGCCGGGGTCATGGATATGGTAGCTGGGGTAATCCCCGGTCTCCAGCTCTTAGTGACTTCCCTGTTATAATACTATTCTCCCTAGCATACGTGCTTACGTGCCCACAAAAGTCACTTTAAGTAAAACACAGCATGGTTTTCGACTAGACAGTCAAGCAAGTATAGTGTACCCTGAGTGTAAAAGTTCTGAAATCCTTTCACATGTAAGCCAGGCTTTCACTTAAAAGAGGCAAGGACAAGCCCAAGAATAATAGTGCCTATTTCACTGTGAAAACAGACCCAATCAATTTTTTTCATTTTGGGGGGCCTACATGTACTAAAACTTCTTGCCTCGGTGTTATGTGTGCAAAAATGGACTGAATCACAAGTCTGAGGCACTGTATTAAGCTTGGCCTATAAAATCACCTGTTCCTGGATTGCATTCTGACCAATTTGGCATAAAACAAGATGGAGGTGTTGCGCACGTGTTGCATGGCTTTCAGTATGTATCACAAGAAGTACCCAGGGAACAGTGTGGCAAATTTGCATGTTGATGCTCTTCAATAAGGAATCCACACTCACAAAGGATGGTAAAATTTAGTCCACTTGCAATAATTTTATGTTCCTATAATTTTATTTTAACTGTGACGGAATTACTGTAGTTTAGTTGGTAGAGTGCTCACTTGACTGTGGAGCTGTTCGATTCCCAGCGCCAGTCCAATACTCGGGGTCTTAATATAACTAGGAAATGAAGGCAATCTTTTCGCACTTTAAGTAGCTAGACCTTTGCTTAGCATGGATGACTGATTATTATTATTATTCTTGTAAAGAAATGACACAAGGGATTTAAGAGCAAGAAGAGGCCAAAAGGACGACAATCAGGGCAGAGGTGAGGACCCTTCCCCTTCAAATGAGATTCAAACAAAATCTTCACCCAGCAGTACAACCCACAGTTATAGTAAACTCAGGGGGAGGGGAAGGGGCAGAGGCCAGGTTCAGGAGCTCAAGAAGCCAAGGAAGAATGCCGCAGATTTTACTCGGGAGCGAGAAGAAGCTCGGAAAAGGGAAGCACAGGAGAAGAAGAAACAGGACGAAGAGGGGCACTTTGAGGGTGAGTGGAATGTTTCCATTAGCATTTCTTTTCTTTTGACTAAATTATTATGACGTACCGCAAACTGTTGCTTATAAGTCCCAGGGCTTATAAATTTATTGTGGGGCTTATATCCCAGGTAGCTTGTAACTGGAATAGAAAATTGAAACAAGTTTCTGTTATAGCAGTGCAGAGCAAAATAGTATGTTCTTCATTCATTGTTTTTTTAAGCTTCAAAACTAGGCATTTGTACATTATGGTTGCATTTTTTTTCACCATTTTAGTGAAGCAAAAGCATTAAGCATTATTCAAGCATTTTAGTGGCATTTTTCCCGGATTTTTTCAGAGAAAATAAAAACAAGGGTTATTATTGTTCCCAGGAAAAATTTCTTTTCAGAAGAAAAGGAAACAAACTAGAAAAAACTTGAAATTTTAAGTGCAGAGACTGGGGAAAAGTTAATTTTTGCTGTTTAAAATGTTATAATCTTGATTAACTTGTTCTTTGTTTTTATACTTTGTTTACCATTTCAGTAGGGATAGCACCCTCTTAAAACATTACGATAATAGAAAAGCCTCTGTATGACATGAAGCATTATCGGAACATTTTAGTGTCTTTTTTGGGGCTGACTGAGCATTTTTACTGGGGAAAAAGAAGCATTCAGGTGGAGCATTTTAGTGGGGAAACAAAAGCATAATGTACAAAATCCTATTCAAAAGATCATAATAAATCAAGTTTATTTCAATACAAGCTTGCGAAGAGCTTATATCCAGTGGGGCTTATAACTTGGGGTGGAGCTCATAAGTTGGGGGGCTGCATTTTCCCCTATAAAGTACTTGATGACCACTCCATAAAGGTGACAACAATAGAAGAACTCTTGTTGGGAGGCGCAAAAGGTGGCTCTGGTCACTTGATGGAGGTGGCTGTTTGACAGAATGTGGCCGCTTAATGGAGGTTCAACTGTATTCCAAAACTGTGACCATTCAATCACATGACTATTTCATTACGCGTAAAAAAAAATTTTAAGCTTTACCTCAGCAACTTTATGTGGTGCTGAAGCTGTTATTTATTTTGTTGATTATTGCTGTTGCTGTCTTTTTTATTATAAACAATTACTGGATGAAGTTTTTGTGATATCCCGAATTATCAAAGTTGAGGTATCAGTAAGTGTTATCAGCTGAGCTGAAGGTTAATCTTTAGGTTGCACTTATATCAAAAATTATCAGTAGGCTCTTAGCCAATGAGAAGGCAGATAGTGAGTACAGTGTATAATAATTTCCAATATTCTTTGTAGATGCTGAAGAGGCTGATGGAGAAGTAGTAGAAGAAGAAGAATACAGTGAAGATGAGCAGAATGAAGACTTGGCACAGCAGGAGGAGCAGCAAGAGGAAACAGAAGAATATCATATGGCAGAGGAGGTGAAACTTTACATTAGTTTCTTTCTAAGCCATTCAATTATTTCTCCATCCATGCATTTATGTCTCCACCCATTTGTCTGTCCAACGGTCCTTCCGTCTCTCTATCCATCATCTGTCCTATCCATCCCTTCCCATCCATCCATTCAGCCACACCTTACATCCCATTAATGTGTTTGTCTGTACAACCATCTCTCCATCATCCATCTCTCAAGGCTGTGCTCTAAGAACAAATTAATGTAGGGAGCCATTAAGCCCTGAGCTTGTGAAATCAAGTGTGCCCAACATTATACATTACATTTGGTGTACAACCTAAGGTTTTGTGATTGTCCATGGGCAAATGTTAGCCGCCAGAGCTCACACATGATAATCATCTAGCCTGCATAGCAGACGCTTGACAGTAATATGCAAGAAAGAACAGGACATGCACAGAGACACACAAGGGCAGAGGGAGCGCCTGCTTGATTAGCCCATGAGTGCTTCTCTTCTCATGTGCCTCATAATTTAATCTTGAAAAACTAAGACAAGCCGTCCCAATTTTTGGCACTAAATTATGGAATTAGATACCAGGTAGAATGAGAGAAATTATGTCAAAAAAAATCGTTTAAACAAAATTAATTAATCAGTGTGCTCTAACTTTGAAATAATTATTAAAAGACAAAGATGATTACCTTGATGCAACCATGATAATACGAGAAATAAAATCGCGAAATCCTAAACCTTAGCTTCTTCACAACTGGCAGTAAACAGATTTGTCTTTCTTGCTCTTGACATTATTGTAATTAATATTCTTTCTTTTCTTTCCTCTTTGCCATTACTTCCGTCCAAGCCCCTGTCTTGCAGGCTACTAGCCATTCTACTAAAATGTATTTAAAAACTCATGCATCAAAATAATACCTCACAAAAGTTCCTCTGAGGTGGTTTCATTAATTCTTAAAACTGGTTACACCATGGAATTTAGTCCCTGACTTATAACTGACTAGCTGATAAAAAATATTTCATCAGTTACAATTTTATCTTCTGTTTAATAGTTTAATACATTGTATAATGCTACCACAATATTTATGGTTATGATTTGCAGTATTATTTTATGTATTTATAGGTAATTGAAGAAGAGACATCTGTTAAAGAATCTGAGCAGGCTGGTTAGTTGAATTTTTAAAACAATCATAACCTTAGTCTCAGGGTCGTCTTTTTAAGCTCAATAACATATTACTTTATTAATGCCATTGGGCCATTCTACAGATGAATAGCCACAATAGTTAGATGTTATATTAAAAACATTAAAAAACTACAACAGCAACGGCAATGGGGACATTAAAAAACGATAGGTTTAATGAGCAAAATAACAACTTTGCATGTGCATCACACTTTTTTGTGAATTTCTTTGCCACCCTTAACAACTCCAACATGATATGGCCAAAGTTTCTATTCACTTGAGAATGGGAAGGGCAAGTCAAGTGACTCAGGATTGCCACGAAAAAGTTTGAAAGGACACAAAGTCTATTTTTCAACTACGTTTTCATGGACATCGCCATTGTCAGATCGTAAGGTCCCTATCTGCAGGAAGAACAATCAATATATCATAGTCTGCTCCTTTCCAAATAAAATTTTTTTTAAGAAACTATAGAAAACATACTAGGTGTTTCTTTATGATGAACAACAATGTCATAAATGTTAACAACAAGAAAATAATGCTAGAGAAGCGCAAGCATTAGACAAGTGCTTCTTACTTTTCTCACCAAGTTTTTTTCTTTAAAGTGTATTTAACAATTTCCAATTGAGTGCTTATAACATTCAACTGTGGAGAAAAAACAAGCCTGTTAAATCATGTTTAAAAGGGCCCATAAAATTAATTGTGCCTGTTCGTAGTTTTGACGTAGGCTGCATAGATAATTCTGACCCTGTTATGTCAAAATTTTGAATGATTTTAGTGTTATTGCTTTAAATATTGCTGAAGGTAAAGAAGATTCATGTTTATTTGTTTGTTCATTCCTTTACTTTTTCACTCACAAAAAGTTACTTCACTGTCTTGTAGCTGAAAAGCAGAAAAAGTCTTCTAAAAAGCCTGAAAGCAAAAAATCAAAGCAAGTTTCCCCCAAAAAGGAAGCTGGTATGCCAGGTGTACCAAGTCCAGGGCCATCGCAAAGTGTGCCTACAACTAAACCCAAACGCTATTCTTCACAACGACAGCAGCGCACAACACAACAGATACCCGTTTCCATGCAGCAAGCAATGATGTCACAAATGGGGGCTGTCTACCCTGATCAAGCTTATTTTGAGCAACTAGGTGAGTTACTTCTTTATACAGTTTTAACTCCTTTCAACAAATACTCAAACTGAGAATACTTAGTGGTTGCTTATGGAAGGTGGTCATTTACAAGTTAGAGTTGAACCACAGGGGTTCTTTTCCAAGAAGATGCTCAGACACATCTACTTCATGGAAGATAATTTATTGCATACAATTTCCAAGTTGCAATATGTCTAGTACCATGTTGTCGCTAAAGTTATTCGTATACTCTATGTAGCATAGTAAATACAGCTGACATAGAGATCAGACAAAGTGTCAAGTTGTTGCTTGCAAGAAGTTAAAAACAATGGAAAGTTACTAAACCGTTAGCCCTGAAACATTGCCACAGTTCCTTACAAGAGGTGGTTGTTTACAGGATGTACGTTCCAATTATTAAGTTTTGAGTGGGAAATTTTGGTGTTTTTGATAGGTGGTTGCTTACTGGGAGGTTGTCACACATGAAGGTTTGACTGTAATCGGAAATTTGCACTTTGTAGAGATGAAACAACAAAATTATTTTATTTTGAAAAAAAAGACTAAATAAGTAAATGAGGGATTGTTATGACATCTTTTAAAACTCCCTTATCTTTAGCAAAGCTCGGACTACTGTGACCTTCAGGCTTGTAAACTGAATCAAAACTTTGCCCTTAGGATAAGCCAGGTTTCGTATTTTTATCTTGCACTTTAAAGGCAAAGACTGATAATTAACACTTGTCGTTTCCATTTTCTTCTTCACAGCCTATCAAGGTTTGTATGTTCCAGCAGGGACCCCTCCAGCACAACCTGTTGGTGTCCATGTTCTGCAGGAACAACCAGATGTCATGCTGAGACAGGACATGGCTGTTACACCTGGTAAGGACCCACAAGGAACCTGATCCCATGGCCTGTTTCTCGAAAGTACCTTCACTTTACAGGCACAAGTCTCTTTCTAAAGCCAAAATCCAAAGAATTTTAGTGCAGCTTCTCACTCCCTATCCAAGTTATTTGTTTTGCTAACTGAAAGTTGTATTGCATTACTCACAAATTTAAACAACTTTCTGGACCAGGTAATATTATTTCCAAGACCTTCTAATATGGACCCCAGAGGAGAATCCCTTAAAACCAGTTATTTTTGTTTCTAAGAAGTAGAAGTGGATACTCTAGCAGTGGCGCATTTCAATTTGTATTAAGTATCAGTGAATTTTCCAATGCCAGGGTGCAAAGAAAGTCAGTTTTACAGCTTGCCATTCAGGCAAGCTGTAGTTAGCATGTACTAGCGCTTAAGTCTATGGTGAGCAGGGTTGATAACAGTTCTTTTGTGATTAGAATTCCTTTGCCAGGTGGGCAAGTTAAGAACAGAATTCACTAGCCGGATAGTAAAATCCACAAGCCCCGGGCTATCAGACACGACTTTCTTTGCATGCTGAATGCAGACATTCTTTAGGCATAGTCTTTTGCACTTGACACCTAACAGGCTACAACCTCAGACAAACTTTCAAGGCAGTTCCATCTCTTGAGCATCTGATAATAGTTACCAATCCAAATTTTATTTGGATTTTAATTTCATTGCCTGTGATAAGATGAAAACTCACCTCTGTGTAATCTTATAGGAGACCGGCCTGAAATGGCTGCAGGGATGCCAATGGCTAACCCCAGTCCGCAGCCAATGGGTGCTCTTCAGCATGAGACCATGATGCAACAACAACTAGCAGCAGCAGCAGCAGCTGTGGCAGCTCAACAGAGTGTCGCCCCTGAGGGTGTGGCCGCCCCCAGAGTTCCACAACCTGCTTTGAACCCTCAACAACAACAAGTTTTAGCAGCACATTTACAAATGCAGGCTCAGCAAGGTTTTGTACAGTGTTATGTGTTATTAACCAAGGTTATTTACCATTTCCGGAAAATCCGGTTGGAAAGTAAATAGAACACAACTTTGAAGTCTTTCCATGGGAAAATTTCCGGGAACAATGGAACGTCTGAAAAGGTAGTCCATTTTTCTGGAAGGAATGTGCCAAACAGAAATTCACGTTCTATTAATTATTCTTCAAAGCATATTTGTTACCAGTCTTAGGCCTTCGAGGCCATTTTCAGGTAAATGGAACAGATTTGTACAAATGGTAGACAGGATTGCAGGATGAAATTTACTATTCTTGAATTTTATTTATCATTCACCCAAACCAGAACTGACCGGTTTGCCCATGTTATTTGGAAAACAACCCAAGTGTGAGGTCAAGGTGGCCGAACACTGGCCAAGTTCTTTCTTGCGCATTTATGGACTGTGATGAAGTAAATACAAGGGCAATAATTGATTAATAATTAAGTTTTAAATTTATTATTATTAAACACAAATAAGAACGAGGCCAATATCAAGTTATCTTGGCGGACAAGCTTGCCAATATGGGATTTATTATACGATCAAAAAGGTAACTTTTTTGTGGACCAATTCCGGTAATGCTGAACTAGTACAATAAGCCCATCTTACCTGCTCAGGTAACCAATCACAACACAGCATTCACTTCATCTTGCGCACTCGCCATTTCTGCCATGTAATAATAATTTTATTAGTATTGCTGACGTATGTGAGTGAGACGCCACATGTTATCATATATTGTAAGCAAGTGAAAGTTTCTTAAACTTCGTCACCAACAAATGAGTTTGGGGAGAAGTGAGAGACCCAAAAACTACTGGTTAAATTATTATTTTTTTTCTTTAGGTATACAAGCTGCTCAGCTAGGCCCAGTCCCCCAGCCCAACATGGTGACATCAGCTGGTTATGTTCCCAATTACACTGGGGTCCAGTCCTTTGCAGGCCAGCCGATGATGTACAATAATTCACAGTGAGTCAATTGCTAGCAGTTAGATGTAGTCCCCTCGCTTGTGCATTTAGTACCTTTCTTGAAATGTAACGGTCTATAGAGAACAGAACTAAGATGATAAGGGACGGACCAGTTTTTTTTTACCGGGGAGGGGGGAGTTGGAAAATGTTGACATAAATTGTTTGCAGAGGCTGTAAACACTGAAATAAATTGTATGCAAGAAAAAAAAAGTGTTTGCAGGAAGACGAAAGCACACAAAAAAATTGTTTGCGGCAGGAGAACCCCCCCCCCCCCAAAAAAAAAAAAAGGACCCCCCCCCCCCATAAAAAAAAGAATGGTCCGTCCTTAATGCGATGCACAGCCAAACACTACACTCTAAGCTTACATCTTTTAATAAAATCACATGTGCTTACATCTGAGCAAGCATAATATTATATGCATGCCGTGACCCAACTAGCCCCATGAAATCACAATGTGGAGGCAGGTGGCCCAAAAACGCGATAAAACAACAACTTGTTAAACTTCCTTGTAGGTCTCTTTACTCGTTAAATAATCCTTAGGTCTTGGACCATTCAGTAATTTTATGACATTTGAGGACACTGATTAAACGTGAATTTCTTTGTATTTTCCTCTTGAAAATTCAAACTGTGTAAGGTTATCGTAGTTGAGCTATTGCGGCTGTGCTACGTGACTGCACGATGCAGTTCAGTAATTCGTGTGTTCATTTGAGATAATGCGACTGTGCAATGCGGTGGTTATGTCAACCCACAAATGACCTGCTCATCACTAGAGTTCTCATTAGCTCAGTGGTTAGAGCATCTGACTAGCGTCTGGAAGGTCGTGGGTCAAATTCCCATCTGGAACTCAGAAGTTTTTTTTGTGTTCTTCTCTCTACTCTTATCATTCAAGTTATTGGTTGTGCTTTTCCTTTCAGATTTCCAATGATGAATGTGGGGATGAATCCGTTCTTGGGTCAACAAGTGAGTTACGTCAGCAATTTATCTTCTGCTTATGTGTATTACATTTTCAAGTAATATCACAGATAGAATGTACCATGTGGGCAAATCTTTTACCTGGTTTGATAACATGGTGGCATTAGCTATGCGAGCAGAATTTTGTTTCAAACTGTAGTCTATTTCTTTCATGTTCTTTGTGAAATTTAGGAGCCTTGTAATATTTGAGTCTGGATGAATTCTTATCGTGGTACCATTTAAATGAAACTTAGTTGTACTTTATGCGTAGTGGTCTTTTTTCAAAGTGTCATGCAAAATAAAATTCGTGGTTTAATTCGATTTTGAGTACCCATTTCCCCATAGTAGGCCACAGTTGTTTTTATGTCAATGTCCAAAAAATTAACCCCTAAGTAATGACCCTAGCCAATCACAGCACACTTGGAATTCAAATGGACCAATCAGGTGTAACCGTTATGTCGCCGCTGCTAAGCGCGGGAAAACACGCGTAAGCAGGTCACATGATCCGTTTAAATTTTACGTCTGATTGGTGGAGACAGCGACGCAACGTGTTTCAGCTAATCACAAGCGTAGTAATGTAAAACCAAAGCAGTTACAAAATTGTGCTTTTCATTTAGTTGAAAATCGCATTGTACTAACAGTGTCGTATTTTTGTGCCTAGATGTATGGTATGCCCATGCAAGGGGGAGGTACATTTTATCCGCCACCAGCCGCACTAATGCAACAACAACAGCAACCCCAACAGTCGCAAGCTGAATCGTCGCAACAACCACATACAAGACGGCGGCCAACAGCTGCGATACCCATCAAACCACCGCAGGTGGGTGTTGATTGAATATATAGTTCCTGGCGACTATCCACCGACCAGGGAGCCTGAGGGCCCTGGGTACGAAAGTGTGGTACGCCACAAGTTCTTTAAGCCTCCTACGAAGAAAGGATACGTTTCGTTGCCAGAGCTTTCAAGCTTATGGTCATTGGTCGGTTACCAGGACATTCTTAGCTCATGTAAAAAAATGTAAATATTTTATTGGTTCATTAAGTGTCACTGCCAGTGAAAAGATGTTCGTACAGCCTTTCATATGTTAAGTTTCAATTTATTACTAGAAGTCGATTCACCGTGCTTGTGCCTCGAAATTCAATTTGTCACAAGGTTTATCTGCCCATGTAGATCCCTTTCCATTATGCCACTTATGGCGTCATCAGTTTTCTAGCTGCCGAATGCTATGACATGCCTAGATACACTGCTTATTGAGGCTGTGAATTTTTGAATTTTTCCCCTGTCCAGTTGATTATTTCATTTCATCGGAGGCTCAAGTTTTTATTTTGTTGTTGGTGTGTAAACGTCTTTGCAGGAGTAGCCTGCGAGCAAGCTCTCCTTTTGGGGAGTCGCGAGAAGTCACGCGAGTACCGCACGCGAAAGAAGACACGAGTGCGGGGGATGGAGAAAGCTCCTTTTCCTCCGCCCCTCACAGCTTCGCCGCTCGCTCGCTACGCGAAATGGAGAGCTCGTTCGCAGGCTATTGCAGTAGATTCAATTTTCAACTAAACTGTTAGTATTGACAGGAGCTTCACTTTAGGTTCGCCTTAGACTGTTCACAGTCCTCTATTTTTCCGTAAGATCGTCGAGATCGAGCGCTCTGCGTTACGGGCTGCCATCTTGCATGAGTGTCAAAACTACTTAGGGGGCGGGGCGGGAAGTTTGGGAGGAAGCGAGAGAAATAGAAATATTTTTCTCGCCCCCTCCTCCCCCCCCCCCCCCCCCCCCCCC